AAGGAAGGAAGGAAGGAAGGAAGGAAGGAAGGAAGGAAGGAAGGAAGGAAGGAAGGAAGGAAAGAATTATCTAATTGTAAAGTATCAAAACAAAATAAAGATTGATAAAAAAAAAATAAATATACTGATGGCCTGGTGATAAAATCAGTACACATTTTCTTTCTTAATCATTGAAGTAATCCAGTGGTGTTTCTCTGGTGATAGTTGTCGTTATTGGCACAAAGCTAGGAAAGATGCAACATCCCACACAGATGTTTGAGACTATGGTCAGACCTCAAAGGGGCAAACAAAAAAAGCCTTTGTTTAGTTGATTTACGGTAAGTAGAATTGTCTGAAAAGCATCTGTTTACTGTGGCTGTAAGCTAATTGTACATGTTTGTTGCACTCAGTCCTCTCAGGTCTTCTGTTTTAGTTATTCTCACATACTCACAACCACATATTTATGCATTTATTTATTTAAATTATTGACAAAATTATTTATATATTAAATGTATATGAGCTTTTCTTTAACTGCCTATATTATGCCACTGCAATTTGCTTTTCTATTTTTTAAAATACCTTATTCATGTACAGCACTTTAAAATAAACTAACCTTTACAGATATAATATTGGGTATTTTCTTCATTGTTCTTCTCTGCAGACATTTGTTTACTGATTTTGTTTTGACCACAGCAATATAAATCCAAAATAAGAACACAAATTAAGTAAATTCCAAAATGGGGATAGTAGTCAACATCTCAGAACTCAGAAATACAAAAGGACAAATATGAAAAAATAAGCCACGATAAATATGTACTATGATAACAAAGGAGTCAGGCATCATCTTAGAAACTAACATTTATGTAAAATAAGATAATCCACATATGATTAGATTTAGACGAAATCAGAAAGAAAATTATGAATTAATACTTAACTTTCAATTGTCAAATTCAAAAGAACTTTAGATTTTCATTTAGTGTTATATTTTTCTCCCCATCCATCCTAACTTTCATCTCTTTCATCTTCTCTCATTATTATCATAAATTTAATTTAAAGTCAAAAATATTTTTGAAACATCAGAAAATTTGAAGATTTTCAAACAAAATTTAAAGATTTTCAAACAAACATCTCAGAATCTCAAAATACTGGAAAGTAGACAATAAAATATAGTATATTCTAATAATGATTATACAAATAGAAATAGCAATAAAAAAATCAATAAACAAGAAATATCAATAACATTAATTTCATAACTCACTAACAAGTTTCCGAGCAGTATGCTTTTACAAATATTTCACTGATTAGAAGAAAAAATATTTTTTTTGGTCTAGATGTGTAAAATCTATTTGTTGTGGATAAACTTTTATCCAAAATGTTTATAGATTAAAAGTCCAAACTGTGACCATGTGAGTAGGAAGTGAGTGATGGGTCCCACTGTAAAAACCTTCCGTCTATTTTTCCTCTGGGAGGAACCTTAGCAGCGGCGTCTTCAGACACGTCAGCTGAAGGTACCCGGACACATTTCAGTGCTACGCACAGCGTTCTTCCTGGTGCCCTGTGTTTTTGTCAGCCGGTGTGTTTCCAAGTTATTCGCTAGTCTCGTAATTCCTCTTGTCCATTCCTTCTGTTAGGATGTTACCGTCTGTTAACCGAACTGAGCAGTGAAACCAGCCGCTGATTGGCTCTTTGATTCCGCTGATTCTGTGTTTGTCTCTGATTTGGCATGCTGTCATCACCAGGTATGCATGATCCCATCTACTGCTTTTCGCTATTGTCCCTTCTATGCATGTTTTCTGCGTGTCTTTAAGTTTATTCTCGTTAACAAGTCTGTTGAAGGCCATTAAGGTGACAAAAGCAACGTTCTGGTAATTTTTCACTGACCTAGTTGATCATTTAACTTCCTGTTAGAGATCAATGAATGATTTATGTGTCATAACTCTTTTTGATGATTGTTAAAATCATAACTGCTCTTAATTGCCAAAAGTTCTCAATTGAAATTAATCGTTTGTTTATATTTCGCCTTTTCTATCATGCCATGTTTATTGGAGACAGTAGATTGACATAGAAGCTCTCCATCTCTTTCATTGGTAATTTCTACTTTCATTATGCAGAGTTATTTTGGGCGCAGAAGTTTTGATGCCCTCAGCTCCATCATGGAGTCCTCAGATTTGACCACACGCAGGAACGGGCGGCAGAGGAGAGTAGCAGGCGCCTCCACCGTGCCTGATCACACTGGGTACATGGACAGAGGGGAGACGAGCTCCCCTGAGCCAGAGATGGAAGAAGATGACATCCTCATCAGGAGATCAGACTCAGAGGACAGGAGGCGTCACCGCGGGCGACTAGGGATCCGTGGTGAACTGGGGAATATTTTACTCCTCCTGTTCCTCTATGTGCTTCAGGGGATTCCTTTAGGACTGGCCGGCAGCATTCCTCTGATCCTTCAGGGCAAGAATGTAAGCTACAGAGACCAAGCCTTCTTCAGCTTTGTCTTTTGGCCGTTCAGTTTGAAGCTTTTCTGGGCGCCGTTGGTGGACGCCCTGTACTTCAGCAGGTTTGGGAGGAGGTAAGATACAAGTCCATGTACAGATGTGTTAAAGATGCTCTATCTTTCCGGTTCTTTTCCCTAAAAGAGATCACTCACGACAAACTCTTTAAAAAACACATCATAATTTATATGTATTAAATAACCAGGAGACATGACAACAGATTCTGATAGAAATTGTAATTTTAATCAGATCAGAAAAATTGCTTAGAGTTTACAGAAGGCAGCTGCTCCCCTCCGGGCTCCCCTCTCAGGAAGTGGCCCCGAATACCAGTTAAAAAGCCATTTTATACATCTCCAGTCTGCCGTATCATTACATCATACAAGATAGCAGATGATTAGACTTCCGTGGCTCCAGCCTTATCAAAATATTACTCTTCGTTCTTAGCTGAGGGATGCCGCTCTCATTCCATTTTCAAATCTTTGCAACGTACAAAATGAAGATTATAACTATATATATCCAGACAGGGGAACTGTCCTAATTGGATTAAAATGTCAGTTCTGATGCGTAACAGGCAGCCCATACCAGGGTGTAATAAACTCACACATCTTCGATGATAATTATACTAACAGATGGATTATACTGATATTTGCTTGTGTGTTTTTTCAGCTCTGGGCTGTTGCTCATCTCTTGTGTGTTTTCTGCAGGAAGTCATGGCTGGTGCCCACTCAGTACCTGCTGGGCCTGTTCATGCTCTACCTTTCAGTAACCGTCAACTCGCTGCTGCAGAGGGAGAAGGGACCTGATGTGGTGACGCTCACTGCAGTCTTTTTTATGCTTGCCTTCCTGGCAGCCACACAGGTAACATTTATTAAGCGCGCATCCAGTGCCTTGTAAAAGTATTTACACACCTTTAACCTTTTTCACATCACATGCATTAAACTCAATGGATTTAATGCAAAGGTCAAAACCAAAACGGGACATAATTTCTAGGTGGAAGGAAATATAAAGTGTAAATATGGAGCAAAATGTTGTAGAAACATAGAGTCGTGTCCTATAATCCTTTTAAATGGGACACAACTCAAGGTTTCTACTGCATTTTGCTCCATATTTATTTTGCACTGCAATTAACTTTTTTATATTAATGCCCTGTTGCACCATTATTTTAAACTGGTTTCTTTTTCTTTTACATTGTTCACACTCTGATCACTGCTGCACTTGATATTGGTAATGTTTATCATACTCCAACTGTAATATCATTACGCTGTTGTAAGCTGTATGCAATACAATTTTTATTTTGTCTACACTCTGTGCATACAAGTTTTATCTAAGTCTAAATTTATGTTGTTCAAACAGGAACCAATCTGATGTGGTATGAATACTTTTGGCCTGTCAAATGGACCACTCCCATCTGATTTCTTTCTCTCTGTATGCTAGGATATAGCTGTGGATGGCTGGGCCCTGACAATGTTGTCCAGAGAAAATGTGGGTTATGCATCTACCTGCAACTCTGTGGGCCAGACGGCTGGATACTTCCTGGGGAATGTGCTCTTTTTGGCCCTGGAGTCTCCTGAATTTTGCAACAAGTACCTCAGATTAGTGCCTAAAGACACAGGCATTGTCACCTTGCCAGGTACGTCGCCCTTTTCCCGTAGATTTGAATTGAAAACAAATCTCTGCATGTTTTTTTTTTAAAGCTGCTTTTATCTGGTTGCATAAGGGGGCAGATCCTTAAATTAATGTGTTATACTCCTTCTACACACCTATCCTCCTCTTTAAAGCCCTAGTTTGCAGAGCGGTTACAAAGGATCAACATAATCTAATTGTGCAAACATATCAGACAGGAGAAGTCTGCCTAATTATCCCAACGAATAAAAACAAAAACAAAGGGAAGACAAAGTATTACGTTCATGTAGGCACTCTTATGCAACCACTACATATATATATATATATATATATATTGTTTTTTTTAGAACTATCCCCTCTAGATTTCTACATTATAAATGTCTCACTACAGTTGTTTCATTTTCGATACCACATAAACCTTTTCAAAGTTTTGTGAAACATTTCTGTGCCAGTCTTTTCCTTGAACCTTTAGATGAATGAATTGGGTCTTTTTGTTCTCCTTTGGTTGATTAAAGGGAATCCTTTGTTCTTCTGCTGCAGATTTTCTGTTTTTTTGGGGGGTGATGTTCCTGGTTTCCACCACCCTGGTGGCCATCTTTAAAAGGGAAAACAATCAAGGCAGAGGGAGGAGGAACGTCCCAGAAGAGACTCAGGGTGTCATGGAAACCTACAAGCTTCTGTTCTCGATTGTGAAGATGCCCACAGTCTTCACCTTCTGCTCCCTGCTCCTCACAGCTAAAGTGAGCAGAGAGACAATGTGTGCTGTCTCTATGTGATGAACGTTCTTAACAGGGCGGATCTTCTCTCCATCAGATCGGTTTCTCTGCAGCGGATGCTGTTACGGGTCTGAAGCTGGTGGAAGCTGGAGTCCCTAAAGAGCAGCTGGCCCTCCTTGCGGTGCCCATGGTGCCCCTGCAGATCCTTTTGCCCGTGGTCATCAGCAGATACACGGCAGGACCCCGCCCCCTTGACGTCTTTTACAAAGCATTCCCGTTCCGGTATGCACTCCACCAAACCCGCCTCCTTCTGTTTGTAAGCGGTTATCTGAACGCTAACAGAGACCTATTCTGATTTGCAGGCTGCTAATTGGGCTCGAGTATGCTCTGCTGGTGTGGTGGACCCCCAGTGTGAAACAAGAGGGAGGGTTCCCACTTTATTACTATGCTATAGTCTTTCTCAGCTATGCATTGCATCAGGTTGGTCCTCCTGTTTTGTTTCTTTTTGTTCTAACTTCTAGATTTGGCTTCTAGTTAAGACTAAAAGGAGTCGCAGTTTCTGGTTCTTTACGTCAACTAGAGCTGCAACTAACGAACATTTTGCTAATTGATTAATTTGTCAATTATGATTTCAGTCGATAATCTCATTGCAAAAGGTTCCTTAAAGAAGATTTTTTACAGAATTAAACCAGGTGAAACTAAAACATTTCCACCTGAGTTCGAAAGACGAAAATATTTTTTATTAATTAGGATTTTTTTTTGGTATAATTACTGCTCTAATTGGGTTGCTCTGTCAGCTAAAGGCTTGTTTAATAGTCTCTTTACTCCAGTTAATGATTAATCAATTACTAAATTAGTTGTCAATTATTTAATTGATTGATTGATTGATTAATCCGATTTATTGTTTCAGCCCTTACGTCAACACAACACAATTTAAACAGGAAAATTTGCTTCTAACCGCGTCTGCTTTTACAATTGGTCAAACGAAGCAAAGTATTAATGTTCGTTTTTGCCTCATTTCACCTTGATTTAGCTTTTTCTTTGCGACTTCTGAGTCTGGTTCATCTGGATTTATATGACTTTGTCTTCATCTTTAACTTGGTGTCAAACTGCTACAGTTTGACAATTGTTTTAAAACCTGTGATGCAGTTTATAAAGCAACATTCTTTTCTCTGAGTGCAAACTTAAACCATTGAGCCAGTTCTCTCCTTCTGTAGGAGGCTTTTACTGGTAAACCAGATGTGTTCTATTGTCGTCTTCAAGTAAAAAATTTCTTGTAGGTCAAAAACTACTGTTAGAAATCTAAAAAGATATCACAAATTAGTATATTTGTCTTTAAGATTAGATAATTAGATATCATGCACTTGAAACGCGTAAATAATCCTATTAAATAATCTAATCTGGTAAAGTATCTGTCTTATTTGCTCAAAACAAGGTAAAATATTTAACTTAGAATTCAATATTTAAATGAGAAAATTTATATAATCACATATAATAATCACAAGACAAAAATAATAAATATTTCTGTAATTAACACTAAAACTCTCCAGGGGCCACACAAAACTAGACCAGGTGGTGCTAATGGCCCCTGGGCCACACTTTTTAAACCCCCGTCTCTTCATAAAACGGATATTATAAGGGGTTAGTTATTTAACGGAGAACACTGAGCCTGAAACAGCTCACTTTCCTACAGAAGTTTATTAAGATGGTATTACAACAGACTAGACATCCAATCCCTTCAGGTAATAGAAGCCCTGTATTAGTATACATATGAGAAAAATGATGAACATTATTTAAGGGCTAACAGGCATGTTGGAGCTTTTCTTCTGATGCCACGAGGATGTTTTAAGTTAGATCCATAGAAGACTATTTTTTTTTGTTATTTTTCTTATTCAGAAACTGAATCTGTTGAGAAATTAAGCCCTGTTTCAAGCAACTACCAATATTTTGGTATAATTTAAAGGCTTCTTGCGGTAGATCTTAGTTGACTTAAAGCACAGAAGTGAAGCGAGTTTAGCAACAACATCTAAGAAGCTCCTGAAAGACAACAAAATATTTCACAATACTCAGCTGCTCCTGCAGAAAAGCTAAGGAAGCTAAATTGTTGAGACTCCGCAAATGACTCCATATTGCATCAGAGAAATGATCCCGAACACAAAGAAGTAATACATTCAGGCTGATTTTAAAGATCTGGAATCAGGCTGATCTCAGGATTGAGATTCTGTGAACTGTTTTAGACTCGGGGCAGAAAAACCAACCCGTTTAAATGAGTTCTGATAAGAGAGTGGTCAGATATCCATCCAGAAGGGATGCTGAGCTTAAGATTACTGGGACTATGTTATTTATATAGAACTGTATGCATATTTCTGGCTTTGCTTAGATAAACCGTGACTTTAAAGCAGGGCACCAAATTCATTTTTCTTCCGAAAAGCAAAAAGATTAATTCAAATCGCAGATTAACTGTGATGCCCTGAGATCCAACGATCAGCTGTTGCTCACTGTTCCTTTTGCCCGCACAGAACTAGGGAAGAAAGCCTTTAGCAAACAGCTCCTTGTGGGTGGAATTTTTTACAAAGAAACTGAAAGTTCACGGAGTTTTTATCTTTAAATGCTTTTAAGTTGAAAGTGAGCCTCAATTGATATGTTTTTTTTATGTACCTTTCATTTAATTTAATGCATCCCTGTTATGTAACTTTGCTGCCTCTTGGCCAGGACTCCCTTGATAAGTGGGTTTTTAACATAATGGGAATTTTTTTCCTGGTTAAATAAAAATTAACTCAGTGACCAGTGTTTGCAAACTTCTGATTCTGAAAATAAACTCTCGGCTTGCTGGATTGTTTGTTCCCTAGGTGGCGCTGTACAGCATGTATGTGGCCTGCATGGCCTTCCACGCCAAAGTGAGCGACCCTCTCATAGGGGGGACCTACATGACCCTGCTCAACACGGTCACTAACCTGGGGGGTAACTGGCCCTCCACCGTGGCCCTGTGGATGGTTGACCCCCTGACCTCTAAGGAATGCCAGGGCGCCGTCGGTCAGAGCTGCAGCTCTTCTCTAGAAGCAGGGGTGAGTGGTGCAGGAGATGCAGGAGAATCTTACCTGCTTTTATTTAGAAACTAATCCCTCCTCCCCATCTCCAGTTGTGTGTTAAAGAAGGAGGCGTTTGTGTGACGACGCTGGACGGCTACTACGTGGAGTCGGTGGTATGCGTTGTGATCGGTCTCCTCTGGTGGCTGTGGCTGGGGAAGAAGATGAGGCGGCTCCAGGAGCAGAGCCCCGGCGCCTGGAGGTGCAGAGTAAACCAGTGACAAAAGTCCCACTGACACTTTAAGCGAGCGCAGCTTCATGAGCTGCTCCAAAACCAGCTGGACTCAACCAGCACCTCACCTACATCTCCTGCTCTGGTCTGCCAGATTTAGGAGACATTTTACCATCAAACCTGTCGCTTTGATGTACACACGCACGAAGCGAATCGCTGTTTTCTTTTTATAAAAAAGCTGTAATCATTTATCATCACCATCTTTTTAAAGCCTCCTTGTAGTTTTTATTTACCGTGTTTTGCTGCTTTAAACCAAACAGAGGCTGGTTCGAAGAATGTGTTGGTCAATATTTTTTTTTTTCCACGTTAGTTGCAGACCTTTAAAGAACCCGAAAGGTTCGTTAAATGAGATTTTTTTTATAAGTTTCAACACTTTAAGCTCTGACTTATCTGCCTTACATGAAAGGAACAGATGCATTTATAATCCTAACTCAAAGCATGAGTGAAGGGTTGCCGCATGTACTGTACTCAATGGGCTTTACTATGAAGCAGGACTAGTGTCTCTATGATGGATGTTCAGAGGGAAATTTAACCTTTATTGAACCCATTATTTAATCAAAACAGCGAATGAAATAGGGGCACTTTTTTTTTTTTTACAGAAAAAGCAAGAGACTATCTACAACATGTGGATATCGCTTGTTTTTTCCCTTTATGTCAACTCATTTAGGTTTACTAAGAAGCCCACTTTGTGTGACATCATACTCTCTAGTAATATCAAGTCTTGGTTTTAATTCAAATCCAGACAAATGTATAAAATAATCCTCGTCTCCTGTAATTTAAAAGTGGTCAGCATTACATCTAGATGTGTTTGCACTTATTTGTCTTCTTAGTTTTAAGAAAAAGTTTGTTTTTAGTTGCACCTATCAGGCTTTTGCTGGTTGAAGCCACTTTCTGGTTTTCTTTGAAGTCCGACCCGTAACATTTTGGATTTTGTGCTTTTCAAAGGACTGTATCATATAAAAATAAATAAGGAAAAAAAGACGCTATGAGTTCTTTGGAAAATGTAGGTTTAAATCCAGCAGAAAATGAAGGAAGATTATTTCCGTTTAAGCATCAAAGTGAAGGCCCATAAAAGTCATCACATCAAACACAAGGTGCATCAAAATGTGTCGCTTTGTCATTGATATCTCGGATGGCAGGAAGTGAAGAGAGACTCAAGGAAAGCTTAATATAAAATTTCATGCAAAGACAATTTTATTAGTTTCACAAATCCTGGTTTCCATAATTTATGGCAATAAAGCTCCAACAGGCTGGAAACCCGGTATCCGTAAAAAGATTGCAGCATTCAAAATATATCAATCAATGTTAAGTTGACAGCGTTTATGAAATATTAACCAACCCTAACTTGGACTTTTACAACAGGAACGACTGTTTACAGTTTTTTTTAGATATACATTTTCTCTTTATTGCCTGATGCAATAGATCCAACAGAATAAGACTGAAACTAGCCTCTAGAATAGATGCATGCATATTTATGAGATCAGTTGTAGACAATCAGATCTGCTTTAATCTTTTAGCTCAAAAAACAAACTCAGAAATAATCAACATATTTACTTCCTTCCTGTTTTTTTCTGTGTTTGATTGTGCTGCTTTTCAGCTTTCTTTAGTGTTTTCATGTTATGCTAAAAATAAACAGATCCCTAACCTATTCCGTCAATTAAATCTGCGCTGAGAGAGATGAAGATGATTGTAATGTAGAGCAGAATAAACCCAAACCTGCTTCATAGTATGTTGCCCAATTTAAATTTTGAGTTAAACCGATGATTAATTTAAGCCTTTTTATGTTTAATCTACTCAAATCTGTTTATAATTGAAATTGTAGTAGTTTTTATCTGGTTATACCGTGCCTTGCTTTGATAATAGAAACATTTCAGTCAATATGTTTATAGTGTTTTAATTTGGGTTATACTGCCATCATGTGGCAGAGAAGTAGTACTGCTGAATGAGCTGTTATTGGTTGGTACAGCAGATGAAATGAAACAAGGCAGCTTTAATCTGTGTCAGTGGGAATGTGCATAATTAAAGAGGAATTCAACTCGCACTTTCTAGTCTGAAAACTGTCATCTACTGTTAAATAACATCTTTTCCCTTTTTAATGTAATAAATAGTTTAATTAGACATACAATTCCCTGTTAGAATATATACATCGGTTTAAATAATTTTAAAAATAAAATATAAGAAATATTTTTTATTTCAATTCATGCAGCTTTCTCTAGTTTATTATACATATAACTGGATGGATCGCACTACTTTATATTGCTGCAATGAAACATTAAACCTTTTAATTTGTTTACATCTGTAGTTTTGATGCTGGTAACCAAGGTGAAAATATTGGTTCATCACATACATTTTTTTTTCTTGCTGTTGTATTTAATAACTGCACTGCCAAAAGCAAACCAAAGCCTCATGGTAGTCAACTGACAGAGGCGTATGTGGATAATATTGTGCACCAGGGGTGATTTCTCGTGCATGGGAACAGAAGGAAACGCGTCTAAATCCCGGAGTTTTTCTATGTGCAATTGTCTTTTATATTTACCCACATTGTCATTATCAGAGATTTCCATTTTTTACCTTTGTTGCAGATTCTCATTGATATTTCTGGCATTAATATGACACTGATTTATTTTGATGGGTGGTGGGTTCGTACTTTTAGTTTAGTGTGAAACACTTTTCTTAGTTTATTTCAAAAAGTGATTTTCTTTTTTTTTTTTTATTGAAATCTTTCCCATTCCTATGCCATTTAAACAAGGTTAAGGTTAAACGTTTTGTTTGTAACCTTTCCACTCTTACATGAGTTCTGACATTTTGTCCTACATCAGCAAAATTAAAAATTAGTAATCGTCTAAATCTGATAAAAGCAAGGGCATAGAATCACTACTTCTGTATAAAGGTTAGGTAACCCTTTGGTCAATGATGATTGGGTCAGCGGTTCTCATATCTATGGTTGATGCCTATTGTTCTCCCAATATCATCACCTGACCAAGCCTTTTTCTAATATGCCACACTACAAAATAAAAGAATGATTCATGCCGATATGTCAGGTCAATATTGTTATATCAGAAATGAAGAGTTGTAATGGGAGGGCACCCATTTATAGATTTATAGGTAGCGTTGATGAAGTAAGCTCACTCACTACAGAAAGGAGTTATGGATGTTTCCACATCTGACATTTACCTTCAGGCATGAATGAAAGTTAGTAAATGAGAGCAAATCAAGACCAGTGGAAAGGAAATCCTTTTACTTTATACTATTGGTTAAAAATGTTTCAGGTTTAATTGAAAGAATGTCCAGGTTTGTAGATTAGGATTTTTTTCCCCTCCAATATATCCAATATATCCAACATATGAAGCCATAAAAGTTATGTTCTTCTCTGTAAATGTTTGATTCATTTTGGGCCTCTGAAATAAAGCACTTACTTTGTTTTTAAATCACATTTCTATTTTATTGCTACATTTCAAATGACTGCTATCAGTCAGTGATCAGAATCTGATCACTGATACTTTACATTCAAGAACTAAATTTCAATTCAATTAAACATTTTAGTGTAGAAACCGTTTAAAAGGAAATTTCTTTTTAAGTCTAAAACAGCAAAAGTCTTTCCAAACAGATCTGGGCTGTTCAAACTGAACCTATTTCATCTTGAGGTTATTTCCTGTGTAGATGGAGTTGTTTCCTCCCACTGTCGCCACATGCTCACATCCCAAACTGGCTCCCAAACCACTAACCCTTAACTATCAAGTGTCACTCCCAATGGGATGGCTTCTTCCTTCCAACGGAAAAGGACAGCAGTAATTGCTATGACAACACAATGACGCTGTCATGTGCGCGGCTGTAGCTCTGTGGCGCAGGTGAACAAACATTTGCCCCTTTCTTTAGACAAATATATACGGTCAAATAAAACTATTTCAAAGAGGACCTTACATTTTGGAAATAATTGCGTTTTTTTTCATAAACTTGTGATTTTCTGTCAGTGTGAAAAAAATGTCAAGAGGAGCCAGTTTAGGTTGCCCGGCATCTGGTTAGGATGCCTCCTGGACGTCTCCCTGGTGAGGTGTTCCAGGCACATCCCACCGGGTGGAGGCCCAGGGGGAGACCCAGGACACGCTGGAGTGACTATGTTTCTCAGCTGACCCAAGTGGCTGAAAAGAGGGACATCTGGGCCTCCCTACTGAAGCTGCTACCCCCGCGACCCGACCCCGGATACGTGGAAGAAGATGGATGGATGAAAAAACTGCAGCAAACCAGCGGAATTTACATTTGGAGGAAGGAGTTTTTTTCCGCCACCAGGCCGCCGTTACACCCGTTGCCGAATTCCAGCGAGCTTCCAGCTGATGCAGACTTGCTTAACGGTCCACTGGCCCTACCGAATACATAGTTTGAGATGGCACTTAATGTGGCGGACCCTCCGCTGGAACGCGTTAACAAGAGGGCTAGTGCTTAAAGGCCGGTTTGGACCCTCCTATGGAGTCAATGGTGTTTTAGCGTTTAATATTTGTATCTTGGATTCATTTGATCAGATTCCTGACCAGTGATTTGACCCAGTCTTATAAACTGCCTAAAAATACAAATTTTTTATGAAGTGGTGCTATTTAAATAAATAAAATGAATTAATAATCCTGCAAATTAACCTCTTCCACGAAAGAAAACATCTGCATTTCATATGTTAGTGTTTTTTTTATGCATTAACTTATTCCTGAATAAGTTAATGCAGATGTATGGGGCTCTAAATGTTTTTCCAGGCTTAGAAAGCTGCTGAGATGAACTGACTGACTCCAGGAAGGAGTGTCTGAGCATCCTGCAGAGGAGAGCTGTTGGTTTGACGCAATCAGCACCGGGGCTTTTATGTTGGTGCAAACATAATGCTGCACAGAGCTGAATAATAATGGAGAGATGCAGCATGTTGTGTGAGGAGCAAAGATCTAACAGGTTTTTATGTCATTTCACAACCACACCGCTGAAGGACTTGATCGTTTTATTCATCAGAGGCTTTCTCAGAAGATGCACAGCACAGTAAATGGATCCACTTTGTAAGACTTCTTAAAACAAAGTAAAACTTTTCATTTGTAGAGCCTCTTTTAATCTGCTCTTACAATCCATCTCATCAATGATCCTAATTCAGACCGTTTTCCAGAACCAGGAACCAATCTGTGAAATAATCCACCCAGTAGTTTACTGGCATTGACTAAAACAGATCAAAGCACTTTGGATATCATAAAGTACAGCAGACTGACTGCATCTCAGTTCCAAGCATACCGTAGTGTGAGAAATGATCGCCGGAGACAAAAGTCGACGGATCGGAGGTGTCCAAGGAGACGTGGTGAGGCAATGATGCTGCTCGTAGCGCTTCCCTCCAGTCTGCCTGAGTGCCCAAGCACATCCTCCAGGCTGGGACAGTTCATGTGGTGTGCAGAAGTTTTGATTCCCATTGTCTCTAGCATCCGTTCCTGTTTGTTCGCCTTTAAGAAAAAATGTCACCAAACCAGAGGGAGGAAGGGGGGGGAAAGGTCAGTCAGGGGTCATAGGTTCATACGTAGATGCTCGGGCCGTTTGGCCACCATGGGGTACGCTGGCTGCTTCATCTGGGCCAGATTGAC